AAGAATCAACCACAAAATATTCCCCGCAATAATGACGTTTGGATGGTTTTTGAAATTTCTGGCATAGTTTGCCCCGATGCTGCCTTAAACAAGATATCACTTTAAGTCCCTTATGTGAAAGAAAGGTCTGGAAGGACTACAGCAAATGTGCGGAGACATCGGCTGTTGTTGTGGTACATCCGAGGTTTCTTAACTGCCTTTAATGTTGACAATGGTACCTCGGAGGACAAGGGAATAGTCGACTTCAGAAAAGAAGATCTGCTGGCAATTCTAAGAAGCGATGAATTATTGCGCAAGAAGAGAGATTCCTAACAGATTAGCCTTTTGCGTGTGTATTTCGACATGTACTTGCTTGCGAGTGTACATGTGTGTGTGTGTGTGAGTGTGCGCATGGGCAGGCAAAGACGGACAGTAGTCAAAGTAGGAGGTTAAAACTATTTTAAAGAGATTTCATCTTCCTCGCGTGTGAAGGGAGAAGGTAGGAAATAAAAATGTTGATTTCCAGAACGAGGTGTGAATTGGGTATGAGAGTGTCTACTGAGGCAGCATAGAGTGTGCACAGCTCGAAAGTAGCTCGAAAGTGGAAGTGTGAATATGAAGGGATAGGGACAAATCGTAATTCGGACAAGGCCAAATTTTAGAGGCCCTTGAAGGGGCTAAAGCTTGAAAACAGTACTCTTGTGAGGAAATGCAAAACATGTTGAAGACGAGTGGCGGCTTTGGCTGCACCATTTTTAATGGGAGAACCAATAGGGTTATCTGAAGTATTTGATATTCTAAATAAGTTGTTTTTGAGATCATCATTAATTTTTGAGTGACAACTTAGTCACCCAGGCCAGGTCTACTCACCAGATTGTGGGAAACCTTAAATATCAGTCTTTGAATTACCTCAAGCAACTTAGACTGATTAATTTTCGTATTAGAGTAGAGTTTCGAGACTAGCAGTAAATCAGTAATATGACATGTATTCATCCTATTTCGTTTAGGTTGATAAAGGACTGATAGTAGAATTTTCTCACTGACGTTTCCATTCAATTTCACATAGCTTTACTTTCCTTAAAGTTTTGAAATTCAATGGAAACGTCAGCTAAACTCAAATCATTGTGGGAAAATTCTACTATCAGTTCTTCATCACCTTAGACAAAATAGGGTGAATACATCTCATATAAGAGTGAATAAGTTAATATTCAGGAATTACTGATACTTCTTAAATTCATTCCAAGAGGTAATCGAAGCAAGTATGAAGAGTAGCTTTGTTGAGAAGTTTCACTTCAATAAATTACATGGACAACTGCGGGCAGCCAAAACAGTAAAAATGATCAACAGATGATCAAGTAACTTCATTTAGAGATAGGTAAAAAATCATAAACTAGATGGATAATTTCCGGTATAGGTAGGCTTAGCAACTACCGAATAAGAAATTAGTCACCCTTGGTCGTAAAGGGTAAGTTAGATTCACAGAATTTAGTCTTTCCTAATTATGGTATCCTGAGACCTACTCATGTGATTGTGGGAAAAGTAAATTAGTGGTTCTCAACTCACCTTAAGCAACCTAGATTGACTAAATTCGTAATCAAGAATCATTCAGTCTCGAAAAGAGCTTGTACAGCATTTTAATGACATCTACGATTGTCATGGCAAATACATGTAACCAAATCGACAGTCCCACTAGAATTGTGATTTAGCAGATGCTTGGCTTACCTTGAATATCATATCTGCCTATGCGGCCTATACATGCGATTTGGGAAAAAATTAACTATCAGCTCGTAAGTCACCAAACAAGCCCAGTGGGAGAGAGTTCATAGAGAAGCAGTTGAGTCCAGACCATGGATCGTATCAACGAAAACTATCATCGTCAAATGTACAGCGATCTTCAACTTGTGATGAGGTAAAGGATTTCAACGAAGATGAATACCAAACAGGAGAGTTGTGCCTTAAAGCGGAAAAATTTATTCAATGCATGATCTGTGGACGAACTCACCCATAAACTAAACTTTGTCACTTTTTTGGAGCAAAATACATTTTGACATTCCCATTTGACCGTGCTTCTCATTTCCTCGTCAATAGACACACTCGACTTATTTGTATTTTTTTCTAAATTTCATTCCAGCGGAACTTCCTGCTCACCATCAGCCTATACCACGAGTCCCAAAAAGGAGGTGAGTTGTATTTGCCACCTTTATTCGAGTAGTGTGTCACATCACCCTGATGATTAGAGGTATGCAAAAGGAGCATAAGATTTCTATTTGATCTCATGAACCAATAAAGGCAATTTCAGGGGCAACAAAGTACGGGAGCAAAATCGAAACGGCAGACGAACTCCACGGCATAGAGATAGCTTATAAAGCCACTCGAAAAGACGAATAGAAGGAAAAAGGGCAATTTGGGATTTCCATTAAGATTAGGAAAAAAAAATTGAGGATTTAGTAAAAAGGATATATCAACTCATCTCATCTCTTCTCATCACATCCTTTAATTCTCTTCTCTTCTATTCAATCCTATTCTATTGTCTCCTCGTCTCATTTCCTCTATCCTGTTCATTTCTCTTCTCTTCCCTTATATTCTCTACTCTTTCGATCTCGTCACTTCACTTCTCTTCTCTTCTCTTCTCTTCTCTTCTCTTCTCTTCTCTTCTCTTCTCTTCTCTT